GTGGCCGGGAGCAGCCACTGCACTCCAGTCTGGGCGACAGAGAGAGACTCCAACTCAAAAAAAAAAATGTACAGTTAAAAATCAAAATGAAGGCTGGGCACGGTGGCTCACACTTGTAATCCCATTACTTTGGAAGGTGTAGGAGAGAGAATTGCCTAAGTCCAGGGGTTTGAGTTCAGCCTGCACAACTTGGGCGAGACCTCATCTCTACAATAAATCAAAAACTTACCCAGGCGTGGTGGCGCATACCTGTGGTTCCCACTACTTGGAAGGCTAAGGTGAAAAGATCACCTGAGTCCAGCAGATTGAGGCTGTGAGGGTCATGAGCCTGCCACTGTACTCTAGCCTGGGCAACAAAGTGAGACTCCTACTCAAAACAAACAAACAAAAAAGAAAAGATAATGGAAGAATAAGAAAGCTAAGCAAGATGCTTGCAGTAATCATTTGTGGAGTAATCATGGAACTGTACAATATACAGAGTATACCTAAGAGGAAGGAGGAGGGGACTAGGGAACTTTGGGTACATTCTCACTCACCTGAAAGGTGCTTCCGGTGACTCTGATCACCCACTAGCCTCAGCATAACCTGGGGACCTCTTAGAATTAAAAATTCTTCCCACTCAGCCTGTAATCCCAGCACTTTGGGAGGCCGGGGAGAGTAGATTGCCAGCCTGCGGGTTTGAGACCAGCCCGGGTAACTTGGCAAGACCTCGTCTCTACAATAAACCAAAAAATTAGCTGGGCATGGTGGCACACGCCTGTAGTTCCAGCTACTTGGAAGGATCGCCAAAGCCCAGCAGGTCAATGCTGCGGTGGCTGTGAGCGTGCCACTGCACTCCAACCTGGGCGACAAAGTGAGACTCCAACTCAAGAAAAAAAATTCCTCCCACTTAATCAAACTTAGGAGGTAGGGTCTAGCAGTGTGTTTTAACAAGCCAGGTGGATTCTGATGTGCACCCATACTTTGTTCAAATCAACAATTTCCTAAGTCATAAAGGCACGCGGGCAGCTGGAGGTGTGTAGCACCCTCTGCTGGTGCCCATCTACAAAGGCTAGCCCTTGAATCAAAAACAAGGTTCCCATAACTCAGCCTGTGCTTTTTTTTTAAAGTGAAGAAAAGTTAGAAATCCTGCTTCCTATTATCTCCAAGGATGCCTTGTTCCACTGCAGCATCTCTGGCATCATGTCGTATCTTCCTTTGGCTCTGCTGCTGCCTCCATTTCCTTGTGCACCCTAATAAAGGACCCGGAAGAGCTTGATGAAATCTGACTCAGGGTTAATAGACTCCAGGGCCAGGCAAGTTGCCTCACAAGCTGGCTGGGTAGAAGCCTTCTCTGCCTGGCCTAAACATCTGGCTACAACGGAGATGTGAGGTACAGATGTGAACCACTCCCCATATACAAAACCCAAATACCCTAATGGCTTCCCGTGGCCCTTGAATAAACATCAAGCTTTTACCAGGCCTTTTGAGGCCTAACTAAAGCCCAGCTTCTTCTCCAAGTTCATTTTCACTCCTCCCCTTGCTCACTCTTAAGTCAAACTGGCCTTGTTTGTAGAATACCTCTCTCCACCCCTCTAGTGCTCTCCACCCCTGGATAGCCATACAGCCCTCACCTCATTCAGGGCTTCTGCTCATGTCACCTCTGCAGAGGGCCTTCCTGTAGTGCTATCTCAGGTATCAAGCGCTCCCTGTCACTCTCTCTCCTTGTACCCGTTTTCTTTTTTTTTTTTTGCCATAGTACTTTCAGCTATTCGAAAAGTCAATTTCTACTAGCCAAAGATCACCAGGAGCACACCTTAGTAAAACAATGTTCTTATTAAACTTCTCGCAGCTAGAAAGACTAAACACCAAGGAGAACAGACAGGAATCTCAGAGGGTGTGGGGAGGGGGTCGCAAAGGATTTGGGCTTGTGTTAGGTGTTCCTAGGGAGAGTTCAAGAAAGCAAGGAAGTGGGGTGCTACTCTGGATTGGGTGCTTTCAGAGAGCTGAGGCAATCAAGTATCTTAATGTTTATGAAGGAACAAAGCAATAATCATGTTACAGTAATTGGGAGAGAAGAGTGTACAGCTAGGTTATTTCTGTGGTTGCATGGTGTCTTTATTGCTGTTCAGGCATGATTACGAATGAAGATGGTCCACCAGAGTCCTTATCTGATGTTGATATTCTGCAGAATTATTTATGTTCGGGAGGAGAATGCCAGTTAATAGTTGAGAGCTCCAAGGATTTTTTTTCTCATATATTTATTTTCTAGAAAGTAAGATTCCTGAAGGCAGGGATTGTGTTTACTACTGAAGCCCTAATGCTTAATCAGTGCCTCACACAGAATAGGTACTCAATACACGTTTATAAAATATTCTTTCTTGCTCTCCGCCTGACCGCTGCTGTGCCACCATCATGGACACGAGCTGTGTGCAGCCTATCAAGTTGGCCAGAGTCACCAAAGTGCTGGGCAGGACCAGATCGCAGAGTGTGCACACAGGTGCATGTGGAATTCATGGACAACACGAGTTGCTGCTCCATCATTCGCAACGTGAAAGGCCCAGTGGGCGTGGGCGACGTGCTCACCCTGTTGGAGTCTGAGCAAGAGGCTTGGAGGCTGAGCTAAGCTTGACTGCCAGGTCCTGGATGTTGGGGTCGACACTTGGGGACGGTCATGGTCTGCGACTGTTAAAGTATTTGTGTGGTAACAACAACAACAACAAAAATATATATATATTGACCCCACCAATTCCTTATTAAGTTACAACTTTAAAAATACTTGTGTAGGCCAGGCTTAGTGGCTCAGCCTGTAATCCCAGCACTTTGGGAGGCCAAGGCGGGTGGATTGCCTGATTCCAGGAATTCAAGACCAGCCCGTACTACTTGGCAAGACCTTATCTCTACAAAAACAAAGCAAAACAAAACAAAAACGTGTGTAGCTTTCTTTTGCAGATAGGGAATTAAAATATCATTTTTAAATCTGTAATATTGGGAAAAATAAGAAAGTTCTGTAATACATTGCTCTGGCAATGGTGTAGATTAACAGGCAAAATCATGCATTGCTGGTGGAAGAGTAAATTGGTATAACCTCTTTTGAGATTAACCTGACAGTATCTAACAAAAGTTAAAATACGCAAAGCCTTTGACTCAACAACTTCACTTTTAGTAATTTATTCTGCAGATAAACTTGCACATGTACATAGTAACTTATAATTATGGCATGGTTTGAATAGTAAACAACCTAAATGTCCATCTTTCAGGGGATGAATACATAAATTATGACGTCTGTACAATGAGATGCCATGCTGCCATTAATAAGAATAAA